ATTAAACAAACCTTACTTAATAAAAGTTTCAAATTAGTTTTTATATATATAAGGGTTATGTGAAATAAAGTCAAGTAATTTGGCATTATCCAATAACATATTATATTAATACTTGTTTAAAATTTGGTAACTCGGTAGTCTTCGGACATTGGTAATGGGTCAAATATTGGTTGTTGGATAAAACTTATATAATGAAGTTCTTTCTCTAGATCTTCATACATTTAGTAAACACAGTCAGCAGTCACAAAAACGTTAAAACATTCTCACTTTTATTACTTGTACTGAGTGTTTTAACTTTATATATGTAAGGAAATCTTTATATTTCATGATTTGTGTTACAAATCTAATGTCAGATTCTAGCAAAAGGTGCCACATAACAGATCTAGTAATGTCTAGAAAAGTGAAATTTGACGTTAATAACAACTAGACCATGACTACTATTTCAGTTTAAAAACATTTTTGGCTGATAATATATAACTGTTGTTGTTGTTAAAAGAAAAAAAATTCAGACATTTTAACACTTTTTTTTTACTGCCCTTTACACTGTACATGGTTTTAGTTAAATAATGGCCCAAAAGTCAATTGATATCCACATTTTAAAAATAAAGACTAAAACAGATATACGTTTTAAATAGTTAAAAAAAGTAAATAAGTGAATTTAAATTAGAAATAAAAATACATTTTTCCTGAACCATGAAATAAGAGATTAAGTCTTTATTTCATGTATAATATAAAATCAAAATATCGTTTACCTGCCAGCTTCCTTAGTTCTAATACCGATGGTAAAATTGGTGGATCACAAGTTTGTAGGAAGAATATTATCATCCAGGTGAATGCATAGCTGGTAAGTTTGTGGCCAGAGAAAGTTAACCTAAGTCTTTTACCCCAGTAATGAAGAGTCATAATCAATGGTGAGACTCGTGGGTCCAGCAGGCCATACAACCTCAACAAACGACTATTGTGAACAACCAGGCTAAAGAGGACAGAAAATACATTTAGAATAAAATAATAATTGTATTACTAAGAAAGAGAGTTTAGTTATATAGTACTTTAAATCACAAAAAAATAAAACTTCATGTACACTTAACTTGAAGTTCAAGTTCATTTCTACGCTCGGACAGCATTTCTCAATACCCTGTACAAGATTAATTAATTATGAAAAAAAAAATGCTTATATCAAAGTTTAAGAGCTAAATTATACATAGCACCTCTATGATAACTAAAATATTTTCACAGTATGAAACTTGTTCATTCAAGTACATAACAAAAAGCTTACTCAATATTCTAATAATAAACACAAAACGTTTTTACTTTATGCTTTAAAAGATTAGTGCTCATACATTTTCTGCCTCTTATATTTAGGTTTCTAGTAGGTTCAGATGTTCAGTTTCTTGTAAATGCTAATTTAAAGTTTTCTTTATCTACCCCAGTACTAATTATTAACTTCGTGTTTTAATTATATCGTTTAGTGCCATGTAAAATAATCAAATAATCCAAATTAGTATTTTCAATTATTTCAACTCTCCAAAGTAATCAAAATATTCTCCATTATGACTTATTTATTAATTCATGGTAATGAAGTCTAATCAGCATTATGACTTAGAAAAAGTAAAAAAAAAACTAATAAAAATTAGTGTTTCTAATTGTTATTACTTTTAATAATTCTAACTGCGTGAATATCTCACGTGAGAATAATCCATTGTAACCTATTAATAAATAAGCTTGACAATTGATCAATTAGCGAATTCCACTGACCATCCGGCTCTATACCACAGTATTCTGACTGGAAGAAAATGTGGTAACTTTTCATCAGAAGTACTAGTGTTTGGCCACTGACAGTAATATAATACAACATTTTATGAATACTCTAACAGCATTACAGAAATTAACTTCAAGTTTATGTTAAAAATCTGATTAAGGTATCTATCTTAAGAATACAACCAAATACAATAAAATTCATTACCTGCAACACAACCAAATACAATAAAACTCATTACCTGTAACACTTTTAAGATGCTGAACATAGCAATTACCATATCCCTCTCCCTTATTGTTAAATAAAATATTTTTACAAAGCCTAATCCAATGCTTCTTACATTGCTCATATAGTAGGCACAAGGTGCTTTTAATTAGCCAATCACAATGTTCCATGTTTTCCTCACTTAATAGCAAGTACTTATCATTAAATTATATAAATAACAAGGTACAGTTTATAACAAATATAGATGACACTTTCATCATTAAATATCACACACTGTTAGCTAACTCTACAATACCTCTTCTTAATGTAAGTAATCTAAAAGAGCACCCTAGAACATTTGTGTTGAAACGAAATTTCACGACTGACACTGTAATTAATGTGCATGCCACGAGTCTGAACCAAACAGGTAATGCACGTAGTCAGACACTAGGTACTAAACTTGTACAAAGTGCCAGAGAAATTAAATCGACAATAAATCATACGACACTACAAGATTTCTCAGAGTAAAGAATAGATAGTTCTTGATATTTTTTTTCTCCATTTCAAGGTAATGTTAAACTTCTTAATTCACATTGAAAGCACCTGGACATGATGAAACAAAAGTTAGAACTTGCCTTACTTAGAGCTGTACAAGATGTATCCCTTGGAACTAATGAGAAAGATAAAACCATTATATATGAATATTTTGTCATACATCTAACATTTACACTGTTATTTCCATCCAAAGCTTGCCCTGCGGTATTTTCTGGTAGAACCAATTTCCCAACAAGTATCAGATAGTTAAACCTGTAAGTAACAGCAGATTCAATCTAGAAATAAAGGGAGTCTTCTCTAATAGGTAACTTGACCGAGTACTTTTAAGTGTAAAATAACGAGTCTGGACAAATAAGAATAAATCTCTATAGAACTAAAATACCTTTTTCTTGAATTCGACACGTTAACTTGCTTAATTTTTCATTAGTTCCCTCACAGCCATTATATTTAGTCAGCATCATAATCAACCAGCAAAAGATATTACTGTTCCAGTCTTTTTAACCCGGATGCTATACATTTCATCAAAATATTCCCTGGGGTAGAGGAGACACAAACTACCACAGACAACAAAGAAACAAAGCAAACATAACAAGGTAATTTTAATGACTTTCTGGAACACGTGTTGCTACCATTAAAATACTGAAACTAAACAACTAATAAATGTTAAAATTTGCTGTATCACTAGAGCAAGTAAAAAAACCTATGATATGCTAGCATATCGCAGCCCTACATAAAACAATTTCAGTTTCTAAACTTTATAATTACATACTGAAAACCTACCTGCTCTTAGAGGAAACGTCACAATCCACATTAAAGCCAGAGTGCACGAAGTGAATAATTTGACAGCGTTTACTTGGAATAAACACTACGTTTCTACATTTTGGAATCCTGCGTATTACTTTAATTATGAACTTCAACTGCATTTCCTGAGGCATCTTGTGAATTATATCAACAGACACCAAACCACTTATAATATCATGCACAG